AAAAACCCTGAACAATCTTGTGAGAATCTTCTTACATATGGAAATGAAGTTCTTAGGAAATGGAACATCTAAAAAAAAAGAACCACATTTGAAAAATAGTGTTGGCTATTTGAAGATTTTCCAATTTTTTTTAATGACTATTAAATTTTAAGGTGTTTATTAGCTGTTCTATATAAGAAATTCCAAAATAAGAAATAATCATTAGCACATGTCACAATTTAGCTCAACTTTCTTAGCTCATTTTAAAGAAAGAACTGTACATCCTTCTAATTCTCACTTGATCCCCAAGATTGTCCTACTAACTCTCAAATTACTGAATCATTTTTATAACGTTCACTACTGATAAGATCCACATATTTCATAACATTGAATAATTTTGTTTTTGCCTGTTACAACACTCAATTTAAACAATTGACCAAAACTTTTGGTAAATCACAAATTTTCAATGTAAAGTATACAGTAGACCCCATTAGGAGTAATGGCAATATTAAGCATTTTTTATTTACATTTATATATATATGACTAAAATGTCATGGTACCACAAGCAGTTTACATTCAAAAAGCTAGTGGATCTACATGGACTGATTTGAAAATTTATATATTGAATTTTTGGATTATCTTCTTTTTGAAATTTCTTTTTTTTACACAGTTTACCAAGCAAAAACTTAAAGTTAGGAGAACTTTGTACACTTAAATAGTTTACCTCACTGAATTTTGAATATTTTTTTATCAATATAACAGAAAGTGTAAGTGTGTTTTCTTAAACACTTAAACCATAAGATATTTGTTTTAACCAATGATACACTAAAGAAGCATTCATAGAAATGCTACTTCAATATAGCTATCAGCTTTAATTGAAAAACATATTAGAATATTAATAAAAACACTTCTTTCATTTCATACAACTACTAAAAGACATGATAATCATATGCATAACAAAAATTAGTTGAACCAGAAAGAAAGCAGACTTGTAGAATTTAATAAAAGAAAACAACCACATCTGTTTCATAGTAAAATTAAATTAAACAAGTTATGAAAAACCAAAAAAAATAAAAGATATAATGGTTTATTACTTTTCTAAATAATGATTTTTATACTTAAGTTGCTAGTAAGTGTCAGATTCACAGGAAGAATTTCCATAATAATTTATGAATAAGTTAAAAAATAGTAGATTATTTTAATCTTCTTGGATCTATGACCATGAGAATCAAAATGAATGCAGTAATGTATTGTTTTACATAATTTTACATCGCACCTCATTCGGATAAGTTAAGAACTAGTACTTAACAAATTACAGTTTAAAAATGTATAGTAGAAACACACAGGCCAAAAGTTAAATTACCCAACAAGATGGCTGCTCTTATAGATTAAAAAATAATTTACAGCAAGTTAAAAATTAACAAATTCTGTCTGTTATTAGTAACCCTAATAAAAACCTTAAGAACTATTAGCTTTTTACAATTAACTTTTGGTCAGCCAAGCTACCTACTTGATAAGGATAGCTAATTAAATACACCGTTCTTACTTATGAAGATTAGAATACATTTTTCTATAGTTGAGTATCCTCACTGTTAACAATGTTTTTGGACATACACCCAATAATGACTCACAAAGCTCATCTAATTTAGGAGATTTAGGTTAGTCCGAAATCCACATATCAAGCTAACAATGCAAAAGTATAACAATAAAAAATAATCAAAATAGATATATTAAGCATTCTAGCCAATAGTATCAATGAAAGTAACATCCAAGAAAAAACAGAACATACATTACTTATGGAACAGAAACAATAGTTGTTATCAACAAACACTATCATAGATTTAATGTTCATTGAATAACTTAACACCGTTATAACCATGTACGAGAAAAAAACATGTAGGATCAAAAAACACTGGTTAAATCATATTCAAATAAATTTGGTGAATCATACTTTCATTATAAATTCCATAAACCTAAAATGAACAATATTTATTGAACTAAAATGGAGGTGTAAGTGTTTGAATTTCTTAATATTTTTAGCTAGTACCCCTTAAGAATGATACTTTTTTCAATTTTCATAGAATTTTATCTTATTATTAGTTTGAAAGGGTTATCATAAGGGGATAAGTTGAAATCTATTGCCATTGTTTTGCTGGAAAAAAGAAGATCTCAGAAGACACAATTAATGTATTTAAAAGTTTAGGGGTTTGGAATCCATAAATCCTGATATTTTAAAAAACTTCTGCCTGTAGAAAAACTAGGACATAAGCTTTAATAGAAAACTCAGAAATGACTCCAAATAATGTAGTGTGGTTAGCTTAGGACATAGTTTGCTTCAGATGTGATAGAAGCTACAATACTGAAGGGGTGTAAGAGAAGATTGGATTACTATTTTTACATATAACAGTTTGATAAAAAAAAAGGTTTCTATATATAGTTTGAAATTGAGTGGTGGTAGCAAATGTGACCCTTTATTATCCTTTGGAAATGGAAGTCAACAACCCTAAAATACAAGTGATTATTGCAAACTAATCTCTCACATATGACTATGTTCATTACTTAAGTCCTAAATTAGTTAATTTTATCAATTTCCCATCAAGTGAAACACCAATATGGATATGTATCTTGTTAATTCAAAGAATAATCAGAACAATAAAAACCGCTACGGACAAAATAAAAGCTACTATAAATAAACTTTTTTCTTTGGGAAGTTCTTCATCATTTTCTGAGGTGATCAATTCATTTATTTAGAAAACATAAACTTAGTCTTGTAACATGTGTCATACTAATCTGGTTACAAAATCTTACCAACTGTTACAGGAAAAATCTCATCATTATTTATCTGGGCTTCCACCCAGTCCATCAGAAGAGAAATGTACTGTGGAGCAGGAAGAGGAGTTGGTTTCTTGTACTTGTTTCCATCAGCCCAAAGGTATTCAAATCTACAAAAGATAACCACAAAAAATTAAAATGGCTCTTTAAGTGTAACATAAAAAATTCTATTTAACAATACAGATATTGATTAATTTTAATTATGCCCTTAGTTTTTAGGTTAATTTCTACATGCAAAAACTTAATGTGCACAAATTCACTTAAAGACCCAAAGTTATATAACAAGCTAAAAAAATAAATAAATTTATTATCTTACTCATATTTATGCTTTAATTTGTGGGTACAGAAAATATAATTACTTTAACTATTCATCATTAGAAACAGCAGCTATATTTATAATCTGAAGACCAGAAATGACAGAAGTTCGCTGTGTAATTTCTTTTGCTATAGAAAAGCTGTTGATATTATTTTATTGCAGAGTAAAATGGCTGAACTTCAAAGCTCAAACACACCACTTTTATCTCAGCACATAGATTCCGAATTCTAGTTAATTTAGAGAGATGTACAGTTGATTTTGAATTCACAGGATGATCTAGTATATCTTGTTCTTTAACATGTATGACTAGGTCACTGAACAATAGCTTCAATTAGTTCAATAACAACACATCAATAGACAGTTCGTAAACACTGAACAAGTGATATTCACATTCTCAGTGGTAAATCCAGTCAGACACCAGTAGAGTAAAACCTACATGGTAAAGTCTGCAGAAGCAATAGTAACAAAAACCTACTAACTCAAAACTTCTCTCCTCACTTGGCAGTGAAGTATTTATGTACCACAGGTCAACATACATGAATTACAATTATCAACATAACACTGTCACAAGCCAATCAACAATAAACACACTGTACAAAGCATGTGACTGTTGAGTTTCATTATAGAATGTAGTTTAAGCTTAAACAAGATTATTAAGTAGGAGACATATAAGTTATTATCAATAGAAGATATGCATACATATATATCATTATGCAAGGATAAGAGGCACTGCAGCCTCTCAAAGTAATTACAAAACATACATAAAATTAATATAATGAGGACAGAATGTAACTATATTGTTAAAAATTAAAGTATTCTATGTTGAATTATGACATAAATGATAGACTTTGGCTGCAGTTAAAGTTCCAAATGGGCATTAGCTAGGTTTAAGGAACTGACCAAAAACGTTTGGTGAAATCACTCATTTTCTATGTAAAATACCCAGTGAGCCTCAGCATTAATTAGTGGTACTGGATGATGATATTTTTGTTTACATTCTTATGTAACTCTGATGCTATAAGGGGAACCCTGCAACCAGCAAAGTTATGGACCTACATGTAAAATACCCAGTGAGCCTCAGCAGTAATTAGTTGTACTAGATGATGATATTTTTGTTTACATTCTTTATGTAACTCTAATGCTATAAGGGGAACACTGCAACCAGCAAAGTTATGGACCTACAAGCAGTTAGGTCCACAGTTTTAATAAAAGTTGCTGTTGTTGCAATAAATCTTAAATATAGTCAAAAGGTTTACTTAAGCCACTTACAGGCTTTGTTATAGCCAAAGTCAGCTTTTGATAAAATCACAATTGAGTTTTAGGTACAGTGAAAGAATTTTACTTGAGCTCAGTTACAAACTTAAACTTTGCTAAATTCATGATTAGGTTAAGCAAAGTCAAACTTTAGTTACAGTTAAGATTTGAGTTTAAGTATAGTTTACTATCAATTTCTCTAGCTACAGACTTGCAACAGTCACACTTAGAATTTAGCAAAATAACAGTTATAATCATAGGTTAAAGTTATTTACAAACATTGCTGTAATCAGAATTATGAAACTTAACCTATAAACCCAGTTACAGACTTTATTATGCTCTAGTTCCAGAACTTATTTATCAAAAGAGTTAGTCTTTAGTATAAATCCCACTCACATTCTTTAGCTGCATTCTTACCATTAGGTTATACTACAGTTTCAGTTATGGACCTCAGAACAGTCATAGATAAATATCTTAGTTACAGTCCACATTATAATTAGCTAAAATAACAGCCCTCATTAACCCATACAATTAACCATCAGCTTTTGAAAAAGCTTTTTAACTATTTACGCACCAAATTCGTGTGTGTCCATGATGTTGTCAACTGTTCTAATAATGTACGAGTCAAACACAAAAAATATAAACAAAAATACTTTTAATACCATAATAAATCCCATTAATTACAGCTGAGGTCACTTGCGAGTTCTTTACACTGAGTGTAGTAACATGTAAAATCATAGTTATTGAATATTATGTCATATGTGATATAAAAACAAGTTGGTAATTTGAGGTTTAAAGATATCACATTACTTCTTGTCACAGTTATACATTTTAGTGGTTGTGTTAGCATTTATGTCCATGTGTTCCAAAACAGGAGTTACTTTCATATACACTGTTTGTTTGCACAGAATCTATGGAATCTAGCCATTTTGCCGAAATAAAAACACTTTTTATCATGTAAGCATGACTATTTATAACTCCAATTCTATTAGGCTTGAATCTGACAGCTGTCAAAATGAAGTCACCCTGAATCATATATATTGGTCAGGATTTATACTTTACCACAATAAACTACACTGGTGATTAATATATTTGTGTGTTTTTTGACAAAATAAAGTTTATACATTTGTACAATTTTCTCTAATTTCATTGGAATTCAGCCCAAAAGGGGTCTAATATGTTGTTTGTTGATTTTAAGTAATGACTACCTCATGGTTTGAACTGTTTGTACACATGCATGAAGCACCTGCACATTGATCATGAATATTTGTCAGTGTTATGTAGACCTGGACTAGATCTCATACCAAGCCAATAATAAATTACATTAAATTGACTTGTATTGACTTTAATTTGGAACTTACAGTTATTGTTTTCATAAAAGTGAAGTTGATGTTTTTGAAATTTATTACTTTAGTTAATATCTTAAATAAAAATTCTGTCAAGCTTAATTCATACAAGTTGTAGAACTCATTTTCATTAAAATACTTTTCTGCATTTCAATACCTTAATTTATCAAATTAGAATTCAGCTTTGAATAAAAAATTCTGAGTGAAGTTTAAATTGTATCAGTTATAGAAGTTGTTTCACAACATATTTAAAACAAAATTTTCAGAACAAAGTTACAAAATAAGTAATGTTATAATCCTAAATTTATATTTTTAGTCATATTTAATGAAAAAACAATTTAAAGAAATAAAAATTCAAAATTTAAGGAGTAAAAAATTAAAAAAGGGGAAAAGTTGTACACTACTTTTATGGAAAATATCCTAAATGTTATTATGCAATTTAAAAAACATTCTAACAGTGCATCTCAAATAAAGTTATTATGCATAAAGTAAGAACTTGTACCTGTTTGCACTAATGAAGATTTCAATTGAACATCTATGATTGAAGTGTTTAACATTGGGCTGTTCCATAAAAAGAATTGTTAAGTCTTTACTGCGATTGTCAAACTCTTTGATTAATGTTTAAAAATTTTAAACCAAAATGAAGTATTTTTAATATTTTTTCAATAGGGTCTCACAAAAAAAATTTTGGACATTTCACATCATAAAAAGTGATAGAAAATTTAATTCAAATTATAAAACTTTCTTTAAGCCAAAAGTAGATTCTGTTTAAAGACCAGATACAGATGCAGAAAAAACAAAATTACCATCGGACACTCATTTATATGCTAAGTTAAACATCGTTTGTAAACCAGAATATTTGGTCCTTTAATAAGACTAAAATACATAATAAGGATAATTTGATTGACTGTTTTAATTTTAATTATAAAATATGGAAGGCTTAAATCACTGACTTAGGCTCACATTCTGTACGGTAGAACAGACATCACTGCTTCAACTACACTTGTCATTTAGGTATCTACTAAGTCGGTTCTAAATTCCAATGAGAAACATCAAGGAATATCAGTAACATCCTCTCTAGTCTGGAAAGGGTTAAGACACATCTTACTATGAGTTTAAAAGATTCATCCAGTATAACAATCTCTTATAAACTTTCATGTATGCACTTTGATTCATTGGGATGTTGTCTGAGGTAAAAGCAAACAGTTTTAGTGTACTGGTTACCACTGGTTTTACTAACCATTGGTTTTGATTGTTGTTGTATTTTGTTATTATCAACTAAATTTAACATTACAGCATTATTTAGTTAGATCAGTTTTTTATATTTACTTTCTTTGTCATATTATGCCTCATACAAGGCTAACTGAATATTTTGGTTTTTCCTTACTTTGGTCCACCTGACATAGTAGGACATGTATCTTCTCTGCAATAATCTGTGACAGTCCCATAGATCAGATTGATACGATTGAAGAAATCAACCACTAAACAACAAAAGAAATATTTCTCCAAGTTATTTCAACTATATATATGTATGTGTGTTGTATTATATTTTTTATACAAGAGTAATAGTAACAGTGTTGTGAAAAGTCATACTAACAAACATGGTATCAAAATATTAAAAGGCAAACAAACTTTTTTTCTATCAAAACATTATTACAACTCAGCACATAACAGATCCTGCTATGGAAGATGTAATTTTACACTTTGTTTTTAAAACTGAAAGGGCTATATATGAATTCAGTTATACAGCAAACAGAAGGACTTGGAAAACAGTTATCATAACATTACACAGGCCTTCGATGGTTTTATTGTCTCAAAATTTTTATATATTCTACAGTACTTCCTGTACGCTAAATCCAAAAATGATATCCATTTTTCTCCATCACATACAAATTTTTCACAAAATGTCATTTGTACTTTTACATAAATGAATCATGTTAATTGAAATCAGGGCATATTTTGTTATGCTTAATGTTGACAATCACTGGCAATAGACTTCTCTAGACCAAGCACAACATGAGAGTCTTATTGATCATTCTAGAACTCAAACATAACAAACACAATGATAAAAAATGTTCATTGTGGTAAACGAAATAATAATTTGATCTAAGTAACTTTTTTCTCCCTTATTTGTAAAAAATCCTTACGTGATAGAAAAAAATGAATATTGTTTTCAAAATCTGCATAGTTGAATTATGGAAAATCCGTTATTACAACCAAGACAACTTTTATCTTTGTTATTACCTTTGATGTTGTTAGTGAAACAAATTGTAGAATAAATAAGTTACATCCCTGATTTTAGAAAAGCTGACTTCCTAAAACTGCAAAATATTTTAAAAGAGAAAGAGTGGGTGCTAATCTGAATAGGAATAATGTTAATGAAGCATGGAATGTTTTTGTTAGTTCAATCACTGTAGTAAAAGAGAAAAAGAATATATTTCTACAAAATGTTTACATTCCAGCTAAAAACTCATCTAAAGGAAGGATAGAGGAAATAAACTCCTAACAACATGAAATTCAACTATAAAATTGGAGAATGTTGAGGTAAGTTAAATTAGAAAACAAAAAAAAATATTCATAAAACTAAATGGGTTTATAAAAATATCCAATTTGACTTGGAAGGTTCTATTCTTTTTTTGAAGTACATAAAAAAACTAGATTCAAAGACAATAATAATCCTTTTAAAGGGTATATTATTATGGAAGAATGAAGCATGGTTAAATTGTGAAATTTTTTTGTAATTGAAGGTGATAATTTATGGGATAACAACTTCTTTAAGTAGGTTTGTTTGTTTGTTTTGAATTTCACGCAAAGCTACACGAGGGCTATCTGCGCTAGCGGTCCCTAATTTAGCAGTGTAAGACTAGAGGGAAGGCAGCTAGTCATCACCACCCACCGCCAACTCTTGGGCTACTCTTTTACCAACGAATAGTGGGATTGACCGTCACATTATAATACCACCACGGCTGAAAGGAATGTTTGGTGTGACGGGGATTCGAACCCGCGACCCTCAGATTGCGAGTCGAGCGCCCTAACCACCTGGCCATGCCGGGCCTACTTTAAGTAAGAGTTTTCATTAAGTTCTATCAATATTAAAGTAATTGTTCTGAAAAACCTGAAGAAATACTTTCAAAAAATAAGTCTTCTGGTTCTGATTAAATTTATCATAAAAACCTTCAAGAATCCTAGCAAAAAGACAGTAGAAGCTTTAACCTTTGTTTTTCACAAGTCTCTTAAGCATGAGGGAATTCTTGATGACTAAAAGATTGACAATGTGATTATTTTTTTAAATATGGTATCTGTTGTCAGAATTTGTTTAGAAAAGTATTTAGAAAGTTAGCATTTAATTAATGATTCTCAGCATGATTTTAAGAAAGAATATGCTTACCTTAACAATCTGTAGGGTTATTTTTTAGATAGCCTCTACCTTCTTTCAAGAGCAAAGCTTGGTTATGTTGTATATCTTAACATTCAAAAAGTATCTGATGTCTCAGGAAAAACTGAGTACAAAGACAGATGCTTATAGGATGGTGGGAAAGTTAAATGCAGAAACATTTGATTGGTGATAGAAAGCAAAGACTGCTATTAAATCATGGGTATTTTTTTATTTGAGAGAATGTAACTGGTGGGGTCTGTTTTAAGACATTTGTTGTTCATTAATTATGTTCATAGTTTTTTAGAAAGTAGTACTTCTAGTTAACTGATGATACTAATATTCTGGGAGTGCTCGTTCTACTGAAAATTCTTCTCTTATCCAAAAAAAAACACCTTAGCAAATGGACCTGTATGTGAAAGATGAATTTTAATATTGAGAAATGTGAAATTGTGCACTTCTGATATTGAAATTTAAAAAAAACAAACTCTCTCTGTAAAATTAGTAACAATACTGGGAAAAGTTTAAAAGAAGATTGTGCAGTTACTGCTGACAAAACCCTAAATCTCTTTGCAAAAAATTTAGATGTAGTGAAAAAAATCAATTACAGCTATTGTTTCTATTTATAATGATTTTGAATTTAAAAACAATAAAATTGTTGTTTTATTGAACATGAATCTAGTGAGGTTTCATTTGGAGTTTTGTGTGAAGTTTTAGTCTCTTTACAACAGGAAGGATATCGACAAACTAAATGTGCAGAGACAGATTACTAGAGTAACTTGTGGTTCAAGTGGTTTAAACTCGGAGTTTATCTGGAGTACAGAAAAACTAGAGGGGAGGGGGAAGAGACATGATTCATGAATCAAGTGTTAAGAGTTTAAACAATTTTCCCATGAGTTGGCTGTTCCAGAAGAGGAAAGAAAAGGTTGGAAATACAAACTTGAATATCAAAGGAAGTAAATTTAAGCTTTTTTAAGCTTTGGAAGCCTAGATTAATATTGTTCTTTGATAAGAATTATTTTTGATTGGAGTTGTACCTTATGAAAAATTGGTTTGTCATATAATGTGGTTTCTACTGTTAGTTTGAATCCTTTTAATGTTTTGTTAAGTAGGAAGTATATTGATTTGAAGGGCAAACTTAAGTTTATCAAAAAATACAATTCAGAAAAGTATATTTCTTTTACTGTTTTATTTTATTTTTGGATAACCAGTGACTGACTTCAGTGAGTAAAATGACCTTCTTTCATCTTGGATTTTCATACATTTCTTATGTGATTATTGTGAAAAGTTCACTAAAAATGTAACGTGCTGATAAATAAAGTTAAAGAGAGGGAGAAGAGAGTATTATATAAAGCTAAAATGCCCCTTAACTATTCAAGTTCCTCTCAAATTTATGTCCCAAATTCCCTGTACAATTGTGTCTTAAAATGAAAATATATGATATCAACAATCATTAAAATTTATTATGAGTGAAACTTTAATGTCATATCAGCTTAAAATTATAGCAAAGTAAATGCAAAAAACTGGAACAGCTATCCTTACCATGAACAGCCACCCAATCATTTAAACTTTCCCTAGGGGGAAGTCTGACTACATCTTTCAAATCTATCCCTGACTTCAATGATGCTTGGGCTTGTTTGTGTAGGGAAAACTTTAAAGTTCCAGGCTCAAACTTCTTCCTGGGCCTGAAAGTCTAGAGAACACAAGTCAGATGTAATACATTAAACGTTTTACATCTAGCAATACAGTGAATGAATGAACATGTGAAACTTTGGTGAAAACTTTTGCTTATGTTACAACTAAAAAAACATTTAATCCTAAACAAACACTAGTAACATAATTGAAAGAACAGATGAGATATAAAGGAATTTTAAAAATATAATCACAATTTATGTTTAGAGAAACATTATATAACTAGATGGGTAGTAGTTGGATAACATACAGAAAGAAACTCAAAAATATTTTTATTAGTTTGTGCAACATTGCAGTAAAGTTAACATTTTCTTAAACTGAAAATGTATTTCTGATAGATACTTACCTTCGCTCACTAAAAGCTTTCTCAACTTATACTGCCCTCTATCAGTGCAAATTTTTGTTTGCCACTAGCCTTGATAATCCCACTTACCTCTGCATTCTAACATACAAATGATTATGCAGCAACCCTCCACCAACAAGAGTATGACACTACCCCTATCGCAACTAGTGCCCTCTCTAATCTTGCATCTGTAAGGTAAGTATGTATCGGAAATACATTTTCAGTTTAAAAAAATATTAACTTCTGACACAATATCTTGCCTCTACAAACAAAAAGCTAGAACTCCATACTAAACAGGTGGAAGGCTGGTGAGAAGATGATCCCCTTGAGGAAGTGCCTGAAGGAAAACCATGGGGTGTGAGAAGAAACTAAAAACTACACATCTGTGGGAGACTGCACAACCTCTGAGCCAGATGTACTCTTCACCCGTTAGTAATGTGTTGCTCAAAGGGTAGAAACATAGGAGGGACCCTCAATAAAAATTACAGAAAAATTAGACCTCCCCAGTATAGAGAGCCGAAGGTACAATAAACTGTAAAGGGGAGTTTGACCTCAACAAACACCTGGCGACATCTGGAATCGTACATAGTTCTGTGGCAGAAAGAGGGTTGTCTGCCTTTCACCTCAAGAATGGGTACCAGCTGGTAATAGAATCTTCAGTACCAGGGACCCACCTTCACAATTCACATTCAAATGCATGTGAGGACTTATTTGGCTGGTCTGGCTCCAACCAACACCTAGTTTCTGGGAATTGACATCTGACAGGAAGGAAGGTGCCTCAGCCAGAGAGAAAAACTGCAATATATGGTGGAGTGCTATGTCCAACACCTGGTGGTATCTGGAATTTTACATCAGGTCCACAGTAGGAAGTGCTTCATGCCATCTACACAAGCAGAATATCACCACCCTACTCACAACTGAGTGGTATAGTGGCTAGGAACTGGTCAGTAGCAATGACTCCCAAACTTCACTAGGAGGAGGAGGGAAAAGTGTGTTGGAGATTCTGGAGGACCACAGCATCAGAGACAGTGCAATAGTTGACCATGATATCCTATTTTGAAAAGCAGAGAGATCACGTTGGAGGAGTCAATCAACCAACACCTGGCAGTGTCTGGAATTGTACATCAGGTTCACGGTAGGAAGAGTCTCAAATGCCACAGATCATCAGAAATGGGCAGTAATCGTGTCTGCTTTACTCATGTTAGTCCATGAGTTAGTCCACGAGGTATGCCTACAAGCAGTCCTGCAGAACACCCCATCTCAATGGTGGACATAATATGATCTGGATATGTGTTATGATATTATGTTTTGAAAACATAGAGAACATGTTGACTGAGTCAATAAAACATTACTTGGTGGCATCTGGAATTGTACATTAGTTCCATGGTAGAGCCTCAACATCACATAGCATATAGCATGGTATGACCACAGTCATACAATACAGATTTAAGACCAAGTATACCTGGTCAGGCAACATTTGCTACAGAGTGGGATCCAAATATGTGATAAAGACCTCTGCAAAGAAAAAGAATGGAGTACTTACTACCCACAGATAAACAGTTACAGCACTGATGATGTCCCCCAAAGGAAGATAGAAATGTGCAGCCAAGGACATGGTAAGGTGACAGATCTGAAAGGAAGAAAACATGAAAAAGGCAACAATCATCAGGAGAAAGGGGAAAAAATGCCAGGCAAATTAACTGGTGAATTCAACCTGGAAGGGTAATAGGAAAAAATGTCATGGGAGAGATAAGGATTTAACAAAAGAAACAAATGGACTCTTGAACCATGGAAGGGAGCAGTATGTGTCATATAATATTGAAGAGCCCTGACCAGGCAAAAGAAGTGGGTGGGATCAGAACGGTGATAAAGACAGGAAATGGAGGGAAGGGAAAAAATGTTTGAAAGTAGGAGTACCTTCTTGAGCAGAGAAAGTCCTGATCATAAACGAAATGCTCAGGAAAAAAAAGAGATCATATGAACTAAAACAAAAACATGCCAAACATCAATCACAAACACATCAGAATGACAATGTTTGTACATTAACAAGAGCAGGATCAGGAACTTCAAGGAAAGGTGGTGCAATGAACACAAAAACGAAATTTCTAATGGAAGATGGAGAAGAGCATGAAAGACCACATAGAGGTACTAATCAAGAAGGAAAGCAGGGAGTAGAAGATGGGGAAAAGCAGAAGGAATGAAACAACATGGATAAGACTAACAACTGGAAAACACAAGTAAAGTCGGCAAACCAAAACATAGCAGATAACATTGCCCTAATGTCACAACAGAGGAAACCGAAAGGCCCCATTCAAAAAGGCAAGGCAAAAATGACAGTATGTGAGGAATTATAGGATGGGAAGGGTTAAAATCCTTTGGACAGACCAACAGCAGTAGATGTACCAAGCAGTGGTAAACTGCCATGGGGAAAGGACTAATGGGGAGGGAAATGAAGAAAGCTACAAATTAAATTCTGGCCCTTCAGGTGAGGGACCAGGCAAAGCCATGTGTGAAGACAGATTGCATATGGATGGATGATGTATGCTAGAGTGTGGCTGACAGAGGAGTGGACAATATGAAGCCACCAGCAGAACACCACATAGAGTGGACTGAAGTATGGCTAGGACACATGGGAGGAGACGAAAACAAGTATGTGCATATGTGTACCAATCTGACTAAAGCTAACTGAAAGCATAGACGAAGAACAGGATACCAAAACCGTTGAAATCTGGAACACCCCCACAGAGCACACAAAACCCATGAAATGTGAGGATCCAAAGACCACTCCACAGGGAAAATCTTGTTGGGATGGAATAACTGATCCGTGGCCAGATTCTGGGTACCTGGATTATGATAAGCAAACAAAGTGATAGCAATATAGAAGATTCAATGTTTGAAAACACAGTTTTGTAGACTGAGTGCCCCTTGCCCAGTGATGTACGAGACTACCTTCTAAATGTTGGAATGGACCATCACCAACCAGCCCTAAAGAACCCACAGGAAGTGAAGGAAAGCCTGACAAACAGCAAGAATTTCCAAAAGATTGACGTGGTGAAAGCACTCAGAAAGAGACCATCACCCCAAAATCTCTTGAGTGTCGAGATAAACTCCCCAATCAGAAAAAGAAGCACCCATAAAAGGTGACATTTTGGATAAGAAAAAGGAAGAGGAACAGCCCTGGTGGTATTGTTCCAACCCAACCACCAGTCAAAGTAATTTTTTATGGGAGGGGAAAGGGTAAGACGGGCATCTAAAGGATCCTGAACAAGGCTCCATTGGTCTATCAAAACCCAATGATGATGACACACGAGGGCTTCGAGAAAAGCCCATGTCTCCAAATGAGAGAGAACCTCTCATGCATTAGAAGCAGGAGAGAATCTGATGCTGCATACGAGACATTTCATAGCTCAAGACTAAAGTGCAGTAAGTAAGGCATGGACGAAGGAGGGAGTAGGAAAACACAACGAGATGAACAAACTGTGTGGGTGTGAAGAAAGACTTCTCCACTTTGACAAGCCAACCGACCATGACAGCATTCTGAAAACAAACTGAAGATGTAGGACGGAGTTGTCCTGTGAGGAGGCAAGAAGCAGCCAGACATCCATATAATGGTGGAAACAAAGGCCCCTGGAATGAATCAGGCAGGCAAAAAATGGAATCCCAAGAAGTAGGGAAGGAAACAGGATTGTGAGACAGTGGGGTAGATTAATGGAAGGAGAGAACCAAACTTAGTGAAAACGACTTTTAGAACCCATGGATTGACCTCCAAGAACCTCTAAACATGAGCAAATTTAAGGAGTCTGGCCACCACCACCCATAACCTAAGAAGGGTTGTCAGATTAAGAAAAATGCAGGTAAAAATAATTGAATTATCGGGGTACATAATTACGCTGCCACAGTAACATCTGTTGTAGTCGTGACTACACAAAATTGAGAGTACATAATTCATAAAATTGAAAGAAGAGAGAAGATAAATAAAATAAATTGTAACACTCCACAAAAGAGAATGAAAATGGTAAAGAGCAATGTAACTGAAGTAGAAAAATGAAGAAAGTAAAAACTTGTGGATAAGTAAAGCAGAAGTAAGATATTGTGTTAGAAACCACTTCAACAATATTTTATTATAAGAAATGCTCATTTTAAGTGATAGCAAGACAACATAAGGCCAAATGGCATACCTATACCAAGTCTCCAAGAGTTATGAATATCACATTTGAGACATATCTATTTCTTTTGTACACTAATAACAACAACAAGAAATTCCAACACTTTCAAGCTTTTCACTGTAATTTTGGGTTATTACACTAGGTGTTATTCTAAATGCAGTAGTCTTGTTATGTACTCTTTTCACCATGTTCTTATCCTTTCTGTGGTAAGGGGAACCAAATCAGTTTACAGTGTTCCAAATGAAGCCTTAACAGTTTTGTGTAAAGTTACAGCCTCCCTATTCTAAATATCAAAGTAGAATAGAACCCATAACTGTTTTGCTCCCCCTCACAGCAAATAAACATTTGGCTGATGACTACTAGTTAGAGCTTCATTATAATGAGTCAAGGCATTAATCAATCTTCTGTAATCCAAGCCTCAACCTTGGCCACAGTTGTTCCCAGAAATACACCATGACTAATACTCTACCAACTGAGCTACAAAAACACAAGTCCCAAACAGAAAAGTCTTATCAAAAGCTAAATAAAACTCCAAAGTATAAGCATTTACTCAACATTCATTCTAACAATAGTATTCATAAGATAAATACAAACTTAAGCATATTATAAACATATTTGGTTTTGTCAATGAATTTACATTTTAAGCAACTGTTTTATTACTGCCAGGTTAAAATAAGACATTTCATGGTATACAAAAAAAAAAATAATAATAATGTTAAAGAAATATTGGATGTTTAATCTTGTATTTCAAAAATAAAAAACACAGCTTTTGTTATAAACTTTTGTATTTAGCAGAATAACTAGAATTTATGTTAATATGATAGCTGGACATGTTAAAAACTCCACTACACACACACTGAGTAAGCCACTATCTCACCTATGCAACATCAGTTAAGGCAATATAACATTTGAGGAACAAAAAGGGGGCTTTTGGCCCATCATGTCTGTCCCATTCATTTCGTCAAACATCCATCTGTCTATATTGAACTCTGACTTCCCAAGTACTCATCAAACCCTCTCTTGAATTCTCCCAATCTTGTTGCATCTACTACGTCTGAAAGCAATCTATTCTAAAGTCTAACTACTCTGTTTGAAAAATAACATTGCCTAATTTTCAGATGGCTTCAACTCTGCAAGATCTTTAATCTATGTCTCTTAGTACTACCACTCTTTCCCATTAAACATAAAGATGATGCATTAATTCTACTTAACCCCTTCATAATTTTGAACATTTCAATTAGATCCCTCCAACCCTTATTTTTCCATATGAAATTAATTTTAAGGAGCTTAAACTGTCCTCATACAAGTCTTTCTATCTCAGATATCATCTAGTAGCCCTCCTTTGAAACCTTTGAAACTTAATATCCTTAAAGGAAGTAGCCCAAGACAGTCTTCACAAGGGGTTAGTGCCTTTTTTTGTAAACAATTCTAAAAATGAGACTGTTCCCACTCTCAAAATTACAATAAAATACTAAATAACTTACTGTACATTAATGAAACAATTTAGTAAACAAATAAATACTTTTCTGATATATAAACTAATAAACAAAGTTAGCCAAATTCTTAATATAAATAAAGATAAAATTGATTTAATGGAAAAAATCTGATATATATATGTAAAATATCACGTGAATGTGAAAAAGTTTATATAAGACAAACTAGAAAAAATTCAGAATGAATGAACATAAAAGAAATGTTGAAAATAATAATATTTCAATTTCATCTTTATCAGAACATATTAATGAAACTAAAAACACACAATTTAATGGAAAAATACTAACTTTAGCACAACCAGAAAATTTTATTAGTATGAATATATGTAAATCTATTGAGATAATCAAATATAAAAAAAGTAAATTTAAAATACTGAATAAGGATGATGGACCTAGTGGAAATTTTGTCAGCAGATGGCGTGAAATCCTTTAATATGCAAAATAAGTCAAAACATGTTGAGTGTATCAGACTGTTTCCAGTCTTATGGTTTTTTTGTCTTTTATATTGTACAGCAAATTATTTAGTATTTTATTCTAATTTTGAGACTGGGAACAGTCTCATTTTAAGAATTGTGTACAAACAATTGTTGTTTTATAAAAAAGTGAGTTTTTTAACACTGAGCTTTACACAAGTACCAATGAATTTTAAAATGTGGTGTATATTCTAGTACAGTCACCGATGAATTATATATGATTAGTTAGACCATAAAGAAGATACATGTCCAAAAATTCAAAAATGGACATTGCAATCTAAATGTAAGAGTACAAAAGTAAATGCTCTTTAGTTTTAATAATTTCATTAGACCAAAAGCTAATGAAGTATCTTACTTAGGGAAGAGCTTTAGGACACAAATGTAACTGTGTATGTCACAACAGAGTTGGAAGTTCAAATGGATTTAACTGAGGATATTTGTCCAAAAGCAAATACAGTTGGGCCCTAAAAGGAGCTAATTTACAATAGGTAGCATCACTCATTTTTAATTTGTGAAACTGCTTGCAATTAATGTAACATTAATTGTACTTACAAAAATAAGAAGTGTATAAAGCATTGACACAGACAATTATTTTACTAAACTGTGCAAAAAAATCTGTACTTTATGCCTAGTGTGCAAAAAAATAATTATTAAAATTGCAGTTTTGGAAATAGCTATGGAAATGATGAAAAAAAAAAGAGTAACAAAGGTAAATACTATGGGAATGTCACCTCTTTTGTGTGAAAATGAACTACAATAGAGTACAGTTACGTGTTGATAGTTTACACTTTAATTTGGTTGTCATTCAAACAATCAGAAAATGCTGCATTAATACAAAGCCAATAAAAACAGACATATATGTCCAACACTAGCAGTGCAATTCCAGTCGTGACTCATAGGATTGAAATAGTGCATGACAGGCATGTAGGAGTCGAATGTTTACATGGTCAGGCATACTCCTTTAAAAAATTTGTGGCAAGACTCCATGTTTTAGAAGGAGTTGTATGCAAGACTTTGAAATGTTTGTGAAACTAATACTGTTAGTAATAGTAGTAGTAGCCAAGGTAGAAAATTGAAACTCTCCAAACATGATGCTAAAGGATTCACAGGGAATGTTCTTCATGAAACAATGACAATTGACTACAGACCCTGCCAATGACTGAGCTGTAAATACAGGTATGAATGTTATCTTAAAAACTGTGAGATACACCTTAACATGAAGTGGCCTTAATAGATGTGTTTGCTCCTTGGAAACCACTGTTAGGAAGACGTAACCAAACCCAAATATTGAAATAGGCATTGAACCACAGTGGAATAAACAATACTGGAAAAATGTGGTCTTTACTGATGGATCCCAGTTTAAACTGTACAACAGAAGAGTGAAGAACAGTATCACTGTCAATGTATAAGATCTACAGTGAAACATGGTAGGTAAGATCAATACAAGTAGGAACTGTATGGGTTTGTATAAAATCTTAGGAAATTAAAAAGGAATCAAAAACTGAGCTAAATTACTGAGAGTAATCACTGGTGTAGTGATGGTGTCTGGTACCCAGGGGGCAAAACATAATTTGTCACCCCACCCCCTACAAACAAAACAAGTAACAGCAACAAATCCCAACTCCAACTGCTCTTTACACTCTTACTTTCAAACTTCTAACCTTACATGACAACTCTACCTACCATGGTACTGTATCTCTCCATATTGTCATGATTATCTGGTCTTTATAAACAAACAACAGAACTATAAGGAGTCATGGAATGAGTTACAAAAATAACTTAATGGTACTTGCCGGTAAAAAATTAAAGTCCATGGGAAGAACTAATAAACAGCCTTCTGACATGAACATGTGCATGTATTCTGTGACTGATTCAATTGTGCCTTGCATGCCTGACAAACATATGGAAGTTGTGGTTTATTCTTTATGAATTTGAATCATTAGCTAATTAAGATCTCTGGTTTGTATAACAATATGTTGCATATTATATTCTACATTAATATAAAAATGCACCAAAACTCTTTTAATTGTTATTATAGGATGAATAAATCTGAGACAGAATTATTTGGGCTGACAAAATTTGTCGACAGCTTGAAAAATATGGCCTCAAATTGTCAGGAGTTTACAAAATTGTTAAATTTTCTATGAACTATGAGGTGTCAGTGTATTTTAATCAATATAACACTGAAAACCAAGGGATTTTCCTAGGCATGATATTTCTGGTGATATACTAATAGTTAATTTATTGTATAAAAAAAATTAGTGAGCCTTAGTGTTATAGGAACAGCTAAATTCTGGGTAAGCTGTCTGTTAAGTTAGCACCCCCCGAATCTGGCACCAGGAGAAAATACTCTCTCATTACACTACTGGTAGTAATTGAGGACATTTAGAATGATATCCTCTAATTGTAATTTGATAAACTGTAAGGTAGCATGAAAATGAAGTGTAATGTTCTGAGTAAAGGCTTACATATAAAATAAAAGTGCAATTTAAATCTTATCCACTTTTCTTTTGTATTTTCTGTGATAATATTTTGTACCAATAATAAAATCCCCATATAATTACAATTCTTCATTGTTTGCGAGTCTTGTATGTTTATTGTACAAACGTTTCTACAATTATTTCAATCTATTTGATTACATTATACTTTATAGTAGATTGACACTTCTGTAAACAGTTGACTCTACATTTCGAGAAAAAACATCAAACTGGCTAAAATAGTCCAACCGAGTTTTGCATCATTCCTTGTTTCCAATGTATCACACTACATCAGTACATGAAATAAGTGAGTAAGTGTGAAACTTTTGTTTGTGATATTTTGTTTTTCTTACTTTGGCCTTTATCAATTTATGCCTAATGTCAGTTGTAACTGATTGGCTAAAACATAAGATACTTGCCGTGATTTTTAGTTTAACGTTGTAACTACTGCCCTTCGTAATTAAACTTAAATTAACCCCAAATATTTCCGGACTAGGTTAGTAGCTACCGTTTTTAAAATTTGATACAACGGTGTCAAAATGCTAAAATAAGTATCTAGCCCAGAATTCGGATTGAAAAGAATAAAACTAAAAATAGCAATGCCACTAAAGTAATACGAGGCTGAGTATCCTCTGACACGAGCATGTTATTGTTAATCAATAAATCATATAAAAATGAATTTACACAAAATGTGAAAAATTAAATTACACAACTTTTACTTCAATTTCTTTTTTATGACAACACCCATATGACAACTTAAGGTAAAAGTCGTGAACTTAAGTATTAATGTTATAGTTCGAAAAACAAATAAACATCAATTTTTTTTAAATTATACATTTATATTCTACACATATAAAATAAAATATAAATTAAACCTCACTTTCTCCTTATGAAACATATCAACAAAGTTCGCCATCGCTGAAACTTCAGTAAGTTTAGCAGATTTTGTTCGGTTGGTGGCGTTATGTTAATATTCCACAATTACTCAAAAGTGTTTTTAAATATACACACACACAATTTGTAAGTAATGTATTGTCTGCTGGTAATGGTATATTCAAATTAAACAGCACCTTACGCCAGTGTTTCCCAAACGTTTTGAGCTCGCAGCACACTTTTAATGTCCCAAACTTTTTGCTGCATATTTAAATAAGTTCGTATGGAAGGCCTAGTGGCACTCTCCTCCCCCCTCCCCTGTTCCTCTGAGTAAAACAGGCAAAAATTGCTGTTATACTGTGTATCAAAGAGAAAATAAATAGAATTTGACATATTAAAAGTTTAACAAATTGATAATACATTTACACTAATAAATAAAAATTACTTAATAATTGCAAAAATTTCGCGGCACACAATTTGGGAAGCACTGCCTTACGTAACATATGGATGGGCTAAGAAACCAAGTCAGACACCTCTCAAGTTCAAGTAAAATCATTCCTAATTTAGAACTGCTAATCAGAGGGAAAAGGGGAGGTTCTATTTACAATTAAGTTATTTATTTATTTAAGAGGGAGGGTTACCACTAACAAAGAGCAACATCCACTATAAAAGCGGCTACACTTAGCGGACTATTTCCTCAAAAATAAAAGGTGGGTTTCATTTTTACTTTTCCTTCTCTTGGGTTTTTTATATATATATTCGGGTACAATCTTGAAGGACCAAGTCATCCCTAGTTGTCCATATGTTAGGTTAATAGGGGATTGACTGTAAGGGCATGGACGCCCACAGAACTATTTTCATGGAGCAAAACATGTGTGTAGGGGATCAGCTTTTACAGTGTAAGTCAACAGACTAAAAGAATACGTATTATGTGTGCTTAGCAGCTTAAACGCAAATACAAATTGGCAGTTTTAGTAAAAATTACTAAAAATATTCACTTGAACAACGATGTTCAGTTTACCTCATAATACGTGCAATTTTTTTTGTGATATTTAAGGGGCGAATGCCTCTTTTACCTCTTCTTTCGGGCACCCATGTGTAAGAGTTATATATATCATCTACATAGCTTAAATTCGGAGCACCCTTAACGGCATATTGTGACTAGAACCTTCTAAATTGCAAATCGTCACATTAACCATAAGGCCACATTTGGCTTTCATAAGTAAAACATGACACACTCCATTAAACATATTTCAATTTGTCAAAAATTGTAGTAGTTATGCTTATGATTTGGTGAAAGAAAGAGCAAGGTGGTTTTTACCCTATAATTGCAAATAGGTCAAACCCCATCGGCTTTTTAAACGCATTTATTTAAATTATTTATGCAACAAACTGCTCCTGAGTCTGTGGCTTTGTTGGCTACAGGGTGTTTAATAACATCCGAGTCATACAAAACGTATAAAAGAAGTACCACCACTATTACAGTTAACCTCAAAAATTACTGCTGGCATCCACTACGTATTTTACATAGAAAATAACTGATTCTCTCCAAATTTTGGTCATTTCTTTACACAGGGAAAAATGTGAAATTACCCAATATGATGTCATACTTAGAACCCACTAATTGTGAAAGGTATAAAATAAACCGGTGTTTAGAGGGTGTGGTATATATAAAAATACGTTATAATTCTTCCTCTTTTAGCTTAGGAAGTAAATATTTCTACTACACCAAAATTTCCAAAACTTTTCACGCTTACACATTTCTGGCGCAGGTGTTCTCTGGTTACATCAATCATGTAGAGGTTTAGGGATACCTGAAGGCTGTATCACGCCTATGCTCACTTATGGAGTGACGTGGGTGACAAGCACACTCTGGAAAATTTGACCCTATTGTAAGAATATAGAATGGTTAGTTCTCTCAGTCTTACTATAAGATTCCTCTAACGAAGAATTATCACCAACTTAAGGGTAGAGCTGTGATTTCGTTATATGAACTCGTCGTGCTTGTACATAATTCAGAATTTGTCTTGTTTTGTTTATTTGTTTTGCTATTAAGTACATATCAGCACAATGGACTATTTCTCTGTGCTGTGACCACCATGGGTATCGAAACCAATATTTTAGCGTCATAATCTCCCAGACTTACTACTGGGGCTGTCTTGTTCTGTAAATAAGTAAAGTGTTTTTTTTTTTCAATATATTGTTTTATCTTCTGTCCAGTCTCTTTCTTTCACCCCAGTCAGATCAGAAATTGAGACTGACTCTGAAATACTTCCTTTGAAAAAAACCTCTTGTTGGAGTGGTTACCATTCTTATCACACCCGAGAATACCTTAAATGTTAAAGGTAGGGTAGGGGCACAACATATATAGATAACATATGTTTCATATTACAGTATGTATGCGCACTTCCTTTAGACCAATCTGTAGTCATTTCAATGTTTTCTTAAGGTTTGTGTCCAGTACTTAGCTATTTAGCTAACCCAAGGTCCAAATCATAAACACAGCAGACTTACAAAAAAAATGTAAAGGAGGTGAGAGGGGCTACCTAGTAGGTTAAATATAATATATTAAAATATATGTATTTGTTTATAATTTAGTGAGAATATTAAATACTTATAATGAGGATGAGTGTCATTTTACCTCCAGCTTTCTATTAATACACACATATACATCCATTTTAAATCAAATAATATTTATATATATATATTTGAAATAGCTTTACTTACGCGTTTCCCATTTATACTAATGATGCCACTTTGCATGTACCTCGCAGCTCGATTCTAACGTTAAAGGGCCTTGTTTTAGGTTGCGGGTGCACTACCATATATAGATAATTCGATGTTCACTATTCAAACAGGTCCCTTTTATTTCTAGTAAACTTGAAAACATTTAGGTGAAATAAGCTGAATTATAATTATACATTTCACTCATGTATTATTTTGATACGTTTTTTTTTATACCAGTGTAATATATCTAGCATTTAAAAACACGAATGTCACTGTAAATTCCAATGTTTGGAATTGCACCAGTGCAGAATCTACTATGCTAGACAATATGTATGTTAACCCTGAGCAAACTTCTTTTTCCAGCTTAATTTAACTTTGGTGAATGAAAAAATAAGTAGAAGTCGTATTTTAGTTTGAATTCACGCCTACAGCCTATAGGACTATGTCCCCTCATTGGTTCGTTGGCTAGTAATTTCCAGCATATAAGTTTATGTTAGAGGTAGTTCAGGGATTAGTGGGGTGAAACTTATAAGGTGCTCTAGGTGTCAGGATTGAATTGTACTTGTGAATTATGGGATTGACTCGACTTTTAGGAGGCCCAGAAAAACTCGGTACACTATACATGCAGAGCTTGCTCATTTCACGATAAATTAGAGATAACTTTAATAAAGACTGAGGTATTAGATAGGGCAACAGCCGATTAGAAACAGAAATCAAGGAAGCAAGACAGGCAATGGATAAAGTTGGGATAAAAGTTATTTTACGAGAAGGTGAGAATGAAATTGTTAGATTTACAAGGGTGCACAACAGTGAAAAGTTAAGGCTATATATAGTTAGCACTCAGGTACCAGTCTCTAACATATTCGAATCATTAGCTGCTTGAATGAGGAACGACATGATCAAGAGGTTCACATAATGAGAGAGTCTTTATAATTATCCTTAATTAATTATTAATTAAGTTATTTGTAGTGGGGAACATAGTAAGATTAGGACAAGGACTGTAAGATGCTAAAGTACAGGACAACGTAAAGCATATTGATAGTTTAATTGCTGGTATCAAGAAACAATCTCTTTTTTGTAGTGCATGTAGGGGTAAATTATATTGTAAATCAGAAGAACTGCTTAGAAAGTACAAAGTAATCCTTTAGAGGTTAAGGAATAAAAATAGACATGTGGCCCTTTTGGGAGCGCTTCCTTGGGCTAGGTGTGGAAAGAAGTAGTACTCGTTCTATCACTCTTTGTTCCTTCATGGTTTCTATCCTTTTCAAAGTCTTAGCATGTTATGCAAGTGAAATTCGTCTGGGTAACTGACATATTGAAGCTGTATCTCCAGTATCAATATTGTGAGATATTTAACTTGTTCAGTTTAAGTATGAGGTCCACTGGAGAAGGACTTGATACTTTGTGTGCAAGTTATGTAACCGCCAGAACTGATTCATCGTAAGATCTTCACAGCTCTGGCCGTACATCTCTTATGAGTGAGGTAGTAAGCTGTCCTTATGTAAGGGATTGACATCAGACTTTCTACATTATTCCTCAAAGGTGACTACTTCTGTTGCTTTTTGATGTGGAAGTACTACATGCGAATCTTGCAAAATCCCATTCAAATTTGAATTAAATTTTGTGGTTTGTTGCGTTCATGGCCCTAATGATGAAATGCTTATCTTTCAGATCTTCGAGAGGACACACTGGATTGTTTGGTTCTATTACTTTCAAAAAGTCCTGGTATTACACCTCTGATAGGTATAATAACCACTCTCCTTGTTGTTATGGGAAGATTAACATCTGGTATAGTAATTAACATGTAATACATAGGAATTTTTCGGATCATAGACTGTGAAGCTATTTGAAGCTAGCCTAACATCGCATCTATGTATCCACATGAAGTCAGTTCCCAATATGCACTCTACTCTATGTCAATTGTCCACACATCATGAGGCATAGAGAATTTTCCTAAAGTAAAAGTAACTGTCAGCTTTCCTCTTACTGGAACTTTGTTTCCACTTGCTTTTCACATCACTCCCTCTTCTTTCTTCGTATCTGCAGGCTGTTTCCTACCTTTCATTACCAAGTCGGGTTCGAACTATTATACTTTTAAAACCAGTATTGATTAACATACTGCAAGGTTTTCACCAATAAACTAGTGGAGTCGTGGACTAGTTTCTTTAAACAACATATTTCTTATCTTATTTGGTGCAGATGAGGTATTCTCAGCCGAACTTTTCCTCATATTATAATATCTAATTCTTTGGCTTTTTTAACAACTGTTGCAGCTGTAACGACTATGTTTCCCAAAACTATAAGAATTCCCTCTTTCTAGTA